CCAAATCCGGCTTTAAACTTCTCCACAACAGTATCTCGGACCTGCCTGGTGTGTTCCTTTGTCTTCATGGTTCTCTCTGCGCTTTAAACAGAACCCTGAGACTATCAAAGAACAGGTGCATTTATACGGAGACTTGATTACACACAGGTGCATTCTATTTATCATCATCAGTCATTTAGGACAACATTGGATCATTCAAAGATCCTCACTGAACTTCTGGAGTGAGTTTGCTGCACTGAAAGTAAAGGGGCCGAATAATATTGCACGCCCCACTTCTCAATTTTGTATTTGTTAAAAAAGTTAAAATTATCCAATAAATTTCGTTCCACTTCACGATTGTGTCCCACTTGTTGTTGATTCATGACCAAAAACATTTTTTTAATATCTTTATGTTTGAAGCCTGACATGTGGCGAAATGTTGAAAGGTTCAAGGGGGCCGAATACTGTCGTATATCTGTGGTTTGTCAGTACATATTTCTTTAAAACCACTAAATTTAGAGAAATATTAAACACAGAATAATACTCGTTTTTCCCTTTGGCACAGTGCTACATATTTGCCTGTAACAATAAAAGAATAACCATCTCTAAACACTCTTAGACAAATATCTGGGTGTATGATTGGCATATGCCTTAACCAGATCTGAACATAGCTTACTAAGTTAGCTGGCTTAATTCAAGCTGGGGTATCTAACTTTTAAACCACATACATGCATGTATTTGTAGAATCTGACTTTGTACTGTATTACTGCTAAAACCATTATTATCTTTAGAACTGACGTATTTGTTTAGACCCACATTTTTAACCAATCTATGCATCTGCATCATTAATACTGTATATCAAGTGATGATGTATCTGTTCTGATGCACATTGATACACATCATATAAAAGGCTTTTCCTCCTTTTGTTTGATCTGGAGGGACTCGGAATTAAACCGGGTTGCAGGTGCGATCGCTGCTGCCTCCGTCAACAATTCTCGACATATTTTTGGCCTCTGTCAAAATCAGATCTGCTAGACCATCCGTCACTCAGCAAACATTGTTTATTGTTTGTTGGGGATCCTCATTAGCTTCCACCAATGCGGTTGCTAATCTTGCTGGGGTCCCAGTAAAGAAAACAATAACAATTTAAACAAGACCGGTATAGATCAAGCCATATATTCTAATGATGCATTGAACATATGTGATTTAAGTTTTATTTTAAAAACATACAAACAAGATATCTCCCTCATTTCCCTATAGGCAGCCTGTTCCAAAGTTGAGCTGATACTGAAAACAACAGTCAAACAGAACAAAGCTCTTTATATAGAGAATGCAAAAGATACCATGTTTTCTAATATGTCTAATAAGAACTATCAATGTCTGTCTGATTAATTCCCAACATTTTACTTTTTGTTGGAATAAACACATTGTATTGTTTAAAAAAAAAAAAAAAGAAGCAAACTATCCCGGCTCTAATTCTCGCTGTAGTCTGTGGTGCTATGTGCTGGCCACGAGCCAACAGGAAATAAAAGCGCCGGTAAAGACACTACTGATTATTGTGTCTTTGTTTACATTTCACCCCCACAGACGCGCAACCACAACGCATTCAACACCCTATACATGACACTGTTTATCACGCAAACCAGTGGGAAATCTGCTTGTACGCTACTTAGCCTGGGAGCACAACACAGCACTGCAAACACCCACTCTCCAGTCCAAGTAATACAGGAAATAATGATACGAATTGTGCAAAAAATGAAACATATTTTCAATTCAAGTCATTTTAATCCTCGTCGCTATGTGTGCAAAGCTTCTCTGGAATCTGCTCCTTCAGAACACATTGTTGTTTTGGTCCGTGCCTTTACGTGACACTTGCGCTAACGTTATTTAGCGCTGTAGGAATAATTTACGGATGTGACAAGACGGTATGCTAATGTCGGCGAAGGGAGACGACAGCAGCGCTAATGCAGGCTAAGGGCGATAAGGAGATACACGGGGAAAGATGCTAATGCTGTGTTCAAATACAGCTGTTACAAGGGAGCGGCACTGCCTATATCAATTTGGATTTTGAATTTGGTTGGCTATGAGGAAGAAGAAAATCTTTGCTATATTAAAGTTATTATACATTTTCATTGTTATATTACACCAGTCCTACATACAGCAAATGACAAAGACTGCAATATTAATTATTATAATAAAGTCCATTATAAAATATATAGAAAAAATTTAATTATTTAAAAGTCTAAATCTCCTTTTTTGACTCATGCACATTTATTCTAAAATTTTAATCATGAGGAAAACTACTGATTAAATTAGTAAAAGTATCTATTGCATAATTTGAAGCATTTATTTTAACCATTTTCACAAAACTGGCAATGTTCTTGTAGTATTTTTTTTCCCACACTGATAAGAATTCTTAAAAACAACATTTCAAATCTTTGCTGCGCTCATAGAGAGTATCCCTGTAGTTTTGTTGAAAGCTGTTGGGCCTGAATAAATAGTAGAATAACAGGCCATAATATGATAAATCTATGTTTTAAGTTCAACATGTTTTAGGTTAGTATATTTCAGAATACTGTTTGTAGAGGACTGTGTACTTTGTCATTTCATGTCATTCGTTTAGAAGTCCATCTATAAAGCCCAGGTTGACTGTTAGACAAGTGCGATACATTTTGCACATGGAGAGTTGCAAGAGTTGCAACCATTATATTGTGACATTTTGGGGGTGATTCATTTCGGAAACTTAAGCTCCGACTACAGCGTGGTCGGTCACGTACGGCACCTGGCCTTTGCAATGACTCCTTTGGCCTTAACAAAAATATATTATATACAAATACTGATATAAATAAAAATGGTTATTTATGAATGATTGTGTATGCAATATTCTGCGTTTATATTATCTTTATGAACCTCATTGGAGAGTTCAACACAAAGCAATGAGAAATAATTTAGCATGCCTTTTTATAAGCTTGTTCACTACACTCATCATGTTATAATTAATTAGAAAAACTACCTTTCAAAATGTGTTAATCCTACAACATCTAATCTTTCATTTGGCCGTCAGTGTTTATAAAGTCTAAATTAAAGATTAGGCTGATCTGCAAAAAACGGCTTGTTTTTACCCTTTACCGTTCTTGAGCAATCTGTCATATACTGTAGTATAATATATAGTTTAAGCCAAAATACATTATGAGTGCTGCAACTTAACCACTCAACCACTATTACATTCAATACAGAGGCTGCCCTAGGAAGGGTTTTAACTGTTAATGAAGAACATGGCAAGTTTTGCATCAGATGAAAAGTTTTTATCCGCCAACTCGTCACTGCAGGTAGCTGTTGTAGCCTGTACAAGTCGACCGCTTGTGTCAAATCAGTCGGCCCTCGGGGGCCCCCTGCCGGTTTGGGGGCCCCAGACAGCTGCCTGCCTGGGGCGCCTCTGACACTGTGTCCTGGGTCTCATGTTTTTCTGACAAAAATCAAACTATAACGCGAAGGATAAACTCTGCGGTAGAAACTATAGAAACTGTGAGCGCAGAGACCAGAAACATGTAGAAGGAGCAACAGCGATGACAGGTTTCACCACAGAGCAGGAAACGCCCCTAGTGAGACAGGCAGCAGTGCGCTGTGAGGGGGACACAGCGGGACTATCATTAAAGCTGGTGTACCTTTCTATATAGAGGAATACAGACTTAAGTATAATGAAAATATGACTGGAAAGATGAGTAAACAATGAAGGCAGGAAGTGCCTCTGTCCATGATGTCATAGTCTTAGGAGACAGAAGAGACCGGGGTATAGTCGTGATATTAGCGTGGATGGAACCAAAAACAAGCTGAAATGTTTGTGATGAGGGAACTAGGTTTTACCCACAGAATTCAGACGTTTTTTGTGTTCAACACATTCTAAATAACTTTTACTCTATACTTGAATAATACATTTTGAACTAAATGAATTGCAACGTGTTTAATTAAAAGTAAACAACCTGGAAAACGGCGTTGAATGAACAACTGCCTATGGAGGAGCGTGGGACTTGATCATTAATGAGGCTAATTAGGAGTATAGCGCTTCACATTAAAATACACCAACATACAAAAACAACGACAGTGGGAAGTGGGTCGGTCCCAGCGGAGGAGCGAACAGATGTTTAGAGCCTAAAAGTCCACGAGGAAAGCGACTGGGGGCTCAATCTGCCTCAGAGGAACACTGGGGTTATTGTAATGGGCTTAAAACAATTCAATATGTATTTTTAAAGGAGAGATATTATGCTAAACTGCCTTTTTACAGCTTCGTTTTCTCAGCAAAACCGACCTGGAGTTGTTTTTCTTCCACGCTAATATCTTTTAAATATACATTGTAAAGTCCTCTGAGATAACTACTGTTGTGATTTAAGATTAAGAAAAAAGAAGCAAGTATAAAATCTCTAGCTCTAACAAGGAAGCAAATCCAAAATCTCCAAATCAATTTAGGGCAATACAAAAATGAATGTAATTGAATTTACTTAGTCACTTTTTACCAATACCCTCAGTCAGAGATTGTGTAATTCCTGCTTCTTCAAGCTTAGGTTGAAGATTTTCGCTTGTTCCCCTATTATACTGAAGCTAGAGATTTTTTGTTATGTTCTTTCTATTAGTATAGAGTTATTGTTCATTTATCTTGTGCTGTGTGCTCCTCCTTCCTACTGTTCTGTAACTGGTGCAACACTGAAGCTTCCCCACTGTGGGACGAATAAGGGATCGCTCAATCTCAATCGTAATTTCTTTACAGCTTTTACACTCACGTTGTACGGCCGTGGAGCCACTTGTAAGCGCTGCCACTGCTCCTCAGCACATAGTTTGCTCGCAGTGGTCCTGACAGTGCTGCTCATTAGTTCTATCATAGCGCACCTCGTTAGCGCGCGCCAAGGTCCGTCTGACAGCTCTTCTGCGCTATTCTCTGGAAGAAAAAAAAATCCACCCTCTCCGCCCACATTAACCCCGCCAAAACTAGGCCAGATGTCCGCGCGCGACTGGTTGTACATTTGATAATGACCTCCGAGTTAATCCGGCCCCCCTGTCCCCATCTGAGCCGAGCGATGCTAACGGGACACGAGTGGAGACAAGACGCGGTTAGGGTGGTGGTGGTGGTGGTGGTGGTGGGGAATAGAAGTACGATTAATGTGTAATGTGGCCTAATGGACAAATATGCTGCTGTTAAATGTGGACCCAGTGTGAATGTATGCATCGATTCAATTCAGAATTACAGTCGAGCTTGAAAACTTCCCTTTTCATATTTTGAGATTTATTGATGATATTGCAAACAAATGTTTTTACTCATTGTTAGTGGTTGTGTGGAGCCAAATATCGTCAATCAAGTGGCCATACCTGAATGTGAAAGACAGTTCATGTTAGACCTCTGAAGCTAAGCAGGGCCTGGTTAGTTCTGTGATGGGAGACCTCCAGGAACCAGGTGCCACAGTGGGGCGGCTATAAGTGCCAAAGTGCCAAACTGTCAGTGTGTCCTTAGGCAAGACGCTTCACCCACAATACCTAGAATGAGTCTTGTGTGTGTGAATGGTTGGTGGTGGTTGCTTCTGTCAGTGTGCCCCAGGGCAGTTGTGGCTACAGTATTGGTTTATCATCACCGTATATGGAGTGAAAGTGTCTTTGAGTGTCCAAAAAAGCGCTACATAAAACTGATGTATTATTATTTTTATTAATAAGTATGTTTTCGATTCACAAATCTATTGCAAATGCAATTAATGTCTGTGTTGTGTGTGCGCCCAAGATATTGGGTGAGGATGTCGCAACAATGTCTCCTTAAGTTTGAAAAATGTGAATTAAAACACACAAAAACACCAAGATGGAATGGGAAGCAATTCCACTGAATGTTTTGAATGTTCCAATCTGGTTTTTCAATGACTTGAATATGATGATAAGATAAGACTTATTTTTATGTATACATTACCTTTCACAGACCAAGGTCACACAAGGCACTTTGCAATGTTTTTTTGTAGAACAGATATTCACTCCACACACAGTGATGACAGAAGCGAGACATCTGACCATCGTCCTATGTTCACTCACTCATAACATTCAGGCCTATTGTGCATTTCTGTGGTTGGGTAAATCGGAGCTCCCGGAGGAAACTTGCAAATAGTGCAGACTCCCTGTCTGGAGGTGGGGTCAAACCCAGGACCTTCTTGCTGTGAAAAACTAAGTGCTAACCACATGTCGAGTTAATATGTTTGAAAGCATGGAGTCTTAGTGCTAGTTGTGGATGAGGTGATTTATCCTCTGATGGTAAAGCTGCTGCTGCAAAAATGCCTCGAGTTCCTGTCAAATCGACTCAATGATTAAAAAATTTGACAATATATGGCTAGCTACTCACAAGATTATTGATATTTACTCACAAGTTTATTGATATTTATACATATCAATAAACTTTCAAGCAAAACTGTATCTTGAGAATCTATTTATATTTTGGCATTGCAACTTTTGTAGGATGAAACCACTCAAAAATATAAATATAATATGAAAAAAAAACTTTTAAAAAGTGTCATAATGGTGTGAAAAAATACAAAGGTACAGTAGTGGAGGTGTGCGGACTCGAGCTGCAGAAATTTAACGTTCTCAGTAAAGGCCTCACATCTGTGGAACTCTTTGCCAATGGAGCTAAAGTCATACTTGGACTTTTCTCCAGAAAACTGGACTAAAGATATTCAGAAGTGTAAACACAGACTCTGGATGTATTGTGGACAACTTGGGCTAGTTATTTTTGATGAGGTTTTTCTTAGCCTTGTCTTTATACTGTTTTGTTTGTTTTGTTTGTGCCTAACCAGGGACTGGGATTGCCAAGTAGTCTGTATAAGCCCTATGTACTTGGACATCGGTTGCCTGTTGGTGGCAACGTTAACTTGTACTGTCCCTGTCAAGTAAATAAACAAAACATGCTTTTGGGAGGTCTTGAAAAAATCAGTCAGTCAATTAAACAATATTTATTTGTATAGCTCATTTTGTATACAAGTGCTTCACCCTAACCCAATTAAAAACGCAGATCAATTTGAAATATATCAGTACATCAATACACATGTATTAAAACAGTATTTAAGTATTTGTAACTATTCATACATTTGATATGAATTACAATTGCTTGTTCTGTGGATAGCCTTTCAAGGTCCCTTTGAAGTGGCTCTAAGTTCCCCAGTGGACACCGGACCCCACTTTGGTAGCACGGTGGCACGGGTCAGACTTCCAGACCTTTCTGTGTGGAGTTTGTGTAGGTTTCCTCCAGGAATGATTGGGGCTTTGATGCTCCAGTGTGTTCGGCGTCTTGCTCCTGTGTGGAGAGAATGGAAAAATACTTGTACTTCAAAACATTGTAAAGTGCTTTGAGTGACCTTGCTTTGTGAAATGCGCTATATAAATAAAAATTACTTACTTAATGACTTACTATCTTTGGGAAGCTCTGGGCGTAGAATGTATGGTGATGTCTTGTCACATGTCTTTCCACAAGCTGTCTTTGTAATTATCTTTGCATGTGGGTTTAGATCAGACTGGAGCTGATTCAAATGCCCTCACAAAAACACAACAGCATTTGCTTGCGTCACACACAAAAAATACTCAAAAATAAGTTAAAATCTGTTTATTCCATATTCCAGATTTAATGTCGTTATAAGAATCTGCTGCTGGATTATCTTGTGTTGTTCTCCAATCTCATTTTGTTCAAATCTACTTTAGACTATATTTCCTCTGTCTGATCCGGGCTTTGGTGCTCTCGTCGTCGCGGTAACAGCTGTTTCACTATCGCACTGCTCTTGTTTGCTCCCAGAGAACGAAAGCTTTCTCTGCATATGGACTTTAAAAATATTTTTCTTCAAGTTTTTCCATGCAGTTTATAAAGTGACAGCCTGGATTTCAAAACTAAATGAAAGGGACATAGTTAAATCTGATTTGAAAAGAGATATGATTTGATTTTGATCTTTATGTCTATCCTTTGACAAAACCACCAGGCAATATTTTGTTTAATCTGTAATTCAAGGCAGTTTGTCCAAAAGTGTCCAATCTTATGATCCAGGATGTCAAAAAAGTCCGAAAATTGCGTAAAGTTGGTTAAAATATAACTTGATTTGAGCATATTTTGACTGCCTTGAAACAATATTTTCCAATGGGACAAGCAAACTTATCTTGTTTTCAAAATATAGAGAATATATATACAGAAATGTCTCCCTTTGAATGAGAAAATAAAGCAACAGTTCTTGAAATAAGACTAAATGGCTTTGTCCAATTGGCAACTCTTGCTTTAAGACAGTCAGAATGTCCTCAAACCCTGACCCTAAGATAAAAAAACTCTTGATTCAAACAAATATTTCCTCTTATTTTATATATATGTTTTGTGTATGAATAAAGTCATTACATGCAATCTCATGTAATGACTAAGATGTCACCCTATCGCTAAATCAGAACCAAAGCTCAAGAACAGGTGAGCCTGGGAATGTATGGATTGAGCTGTTATTGAGGGCCTTTTCAATTCAATGTTTTGCTTTTGTACAACCCGAAATCACAACAGTAGTTGTTGTCGCTGACTACATTACAAAATTATAGATTAAAGACATTTGAATGGGCTCCTTCTTCATCACAACACAGATCTGTCTGTCAATCTCAGCCACCATTTTGTTTTCACACTTACTTTACCTTGGTGGGTGAGTTTGATGCCCAGATGATTAGGAAGAACGTAACTGGGGCACAAAACAGCAAACAGGCAGAAGGACGGCACAGGCAAAGCTTGGTCTGAAACCCCACAGTTTTATGGGGCGTACCTTTCAGAGTTCAGATTTATGATGCTAAAATCTGGAACAATCTTCCTAAAAACGTGAGACAGGCTTCTGCTCTGACAACGCTCACCAGGTTAAACCAGTTTTGTACAACAGAAGGATTTTATATTCACTATTTTAATGTATTGTGATTATTTAGTATTTTAATCCCTTGTTGTTTATATCTTGGAACTGTGCTAGGTTGAGGCTAGGTTGAGGCTCCTGCGGACTCACCTCATGGGGGCCTGGTACACAAAGGTCTTGATGGTGGTCCGGGGCAGGTGCCTTGACAACCTGGTCCATACTGTATTTCTTAATTATGTCAATTGTCATTTCTTTTTCTACTTTTTTGTACATTTTTGATTTGTTTGTGTCTAATTGTGAATAATCGTGGGGTCCTTTAAAGTAATCCTTGAATTGACCAATGGAGCAAACAAGCTATTTCAATCACAATCTAAATGTTCTTCTACCTCTTCATCTTAATTAATCATTCATTCATTCATTCAAAACAAGACATGTTTGCATGGCCTTTATCTTTATAATAGTGTATAATATAAAGTCCTGATAAGGCCAAAAAAGAATAATATCCCTTATTCGTCCCACAGTGGAGACATTTCTGTGTTGCATCACCGGATACAGAACATAGGAATGAGGAGCACACAACACAAGATAAATGAACAATAACTGTAAACTAAACTAAAATAAAATCTCTAGCTTTAGCATAATAAGAAGTAGGTGTAAAGTCTCTATCTTTAGCATAGTATAAACTCCTCCTCCTCGACACGCCCCTCCCCTCCTGTTTCCTCTCCATTAGCTGATGCCTGTTGTTGTATTTGGGTGGCCCCGCGCTGGTACCTGCACCCCCCTGACCCCCTCCCCTCCTCTCCTCTCGGCCCCTGATCCAACACATAGTGATGCCTGCCCAGACTCAGGCTCGCGCGCCCGGCTTTGGTTCATCACGTATTAAAATCAAAGGCGGAGGCGAGCAGAGCTTTAATTACGTTTCATTATTGTTAACGTCAGCGCGTGAGGTCGCTCCGCCGCCGCTGCTCCTTCACCTCTGCTTCAGATGGACACAGAGGGGGCAGGGGAAGGGGCAGAGTCACTAATGTATTCAAATGGGTTTCACTGGCTCTGGGAAGAGGCAAAGAAAGGGAGAAAAGAAACGTGTAGCTCTTCACATTTCTGTCAATCTGAAAAAAAGAAAAAAGGATTAAGCATTGGTATCTTTTAAAATTACAGATCAGTATCCACTCCTGCTTCATGTCCTGAGCCAGAGTCAAGGTGTACCTGTTAAAGATCGACTGACATGGGTTTTCTGAGGCCACCGCTGATGCTGATTTTTGGAAAGTTTGACAGTATCTGCAGATGGAAAATACTGAATCTACATTTTTTTTTGTCAAGGATGAAACACTAATTAGTAATCAGGACCTTTTTGGTTACATTTATAATTTCTTTATGAATATTAATGGAAAGTTTAATTAAAAGAAGGGAAAACAAGGAAACAAGGAAAGAGAACATTATATGTCTTCTTTAAAAAGTTGAAGGAACCATTTCCGGATTCTCCCTAGCAGGGCCCGTCCTTCTCCGCCTCCTTAGCTTATTCAGCGCTGTCACCAAACATGATAATGCTAATAATGATGGCAATGGATCTTTAAAGATGAGAAGAAGAGGAAAACTCAAAATATATCAAGTGTTTTCAGGGTGGAAGGTTTGTTTATATCTCTATCTTGAGAGATAGTTCCCACTATATGTGGTTCTAGCAAGAAGGTCCTTCGTACAGAACAGAGCCTTTCTGAGTGGAGTTTGTATGTTCTACCCGTGTCTGTGTAGGTTTCTTCCGGGTGCTCCGTACATGTACCATAGATCTGGCATGCGCCTCCTGTATTGGCGACCCTGCTCCCACATCTGTGTGGAGTGAGAGGACAAGCCCACAATTGTAAACCGCTTTGTGACTTTTTGACTGAGAATGGGTTTGGATATCGTTGTTTGGTTGGTTTTTCTCTGCGCATGGATTGAAGCGGAACAGCACCAATTTAAAAGACTGGTTTTACAGACTCTATTATTCTTTTAATAATTATTACTATATAAGTTTAAGGTTTGTTTTTTTGTTTTCCTGAAAAAAAATGGGCATAAAATTCCTTGGAAACATATTGACCAAATAGAACAACATTAAAGCCAATATTGGATATTTCAATCTCTCTTACCTTTTACAGTAAAGGTATCGCCTCCTAAATGGCCTTTGATAAGATAAGATAAGAGTTCCTTTATTCGTCCCACAGTGGGGAAATTTTGAAATGCGTCTTTACTGTCCCTGTAAGAGCCGGAGTAATGTGCTGTTGCTGTATACTGTAACTTCCTGGGACCCATCGGTGAATATGAACCTATGTATAACTGTTGTGACTAAAATAGATAGATTGATAGACATAAAGATACTTTATTATTCCCCGTAGGAGAAATTCAGGTGTCCAGCAGCAGAAAACTCATCCAGGTCTGTTGTACAGTCTGACAGCCGAAGGTTGTTTCTACGATTACTCCTCTGAGCGGCCATGGTGTCATGCAGTGTATTAACCTTTAATTTAGTTTGATACAAATATAATTTATTTGGGGAAAAGATGATGTTGCAATATATCGTGATTACAGTCCTTGACACCACGGACGCATATTCCACTTTTTCCAATATTGTGCAGCTCTAATTTAAATTTGAAATGACATTTATTGTACATCTTTAATTTTTGACATCACATTAAAAATAGCTATTTTAATTTCTCTGTCAAAACCTGATTGCACTAAATCAAAGCATCTGAATGTTTTGTTTTTTATAGATTGTGTGTCCATTTGAATTGTTAGTGTAAATTGAACATGACGTGACAGACCTGTATGAGGCTAATGCAATTCAAATGTAATGTATTGTTTACATAATTCATAGAAACATGAGTATATGAGGGCTGGTTATTGACGTTTAAAGGGCTTTAGCGTCAGTTGAACTGTGTGACCTGCGTGTTGTCTCCTGTAGGCTATTTTAGTTTATTTATGCAGCTTTGAACGTATGCATATGTATGGATACGTGTTCACGGGTTTATCTGAAGCCTGATCTGTTGTCATGTGGGTTAGTTATAAGGTATATTTTGCTATATGCATGTGTTTGCACTGCTCAGCATTTTTTTTCCCAGTACTCGGTGAAACAGTGGTAAAAGTGTTTCATCAGCCACCTATTGTGCAAGTGCTTCCACTTAAGATGAGGGGAGATGCTTGCGATTGTCATCATAGGTATACCTCAACAGAGAGAGACCAAATGTGAATAAAATCCAGAAACACTTATTTTAAAAGAATTTTGCACATTATGGTGGGAATTAAGTATAAATAATAACAAAAGTCAATCTCAATACTTTGTTATAACTCTTAGTTAGCAATAACAGAGGTCAAAGGTTTTCTTTAAGTTGTCTCAAGGTTTTTGTAGGTATATTGGCTCATTCCTTCATGCAGATCTCTTAAAGAGCAGTGATTTTTTGGGGCTGTCTCAAAGTATTATCTTTCCTACATCATGCTTCACAGAAGGTACAGTATGGTGTTCTTTGGATGCATCTCAGCATTTTTTATCCTCCAAACTCAATGGTTTTTTAAACCAATACGTTATTTTTTGGTTTCATCTGACCATAGGACATGTTTTCAGACTAATCAAGCCTCGTAATGAGACGGTGACCTCCTATTTGCTTAACACAATATCTGCAAGTCCACATTTCCACCATGTTGATAAAGACGACATTGTGTGTAAGTGTTTTACTGTTTCTTCCTTGTGTGACGTTACTGTGACTTGCGTTTGATTTTTATTCATATCACTCTTTTGATTGTTTTCTAGCGGCCTGTAAGACTTATTATGAGACGGTTCGCAGGAGCCATAAAAATGCCAAGCCAGAAAACTCATTGAGGGCGGATGTGGCGAAGAGTTCAGCTCAGTCGAGCGAGAAGAAAAAGGGTAAGACTAAACTGCATCGCACAGTAAGGCAAGGGAGGTTTATTTGTGTAGCACAATTCATACACAAGGAAACTCAAAGTGCTGAGCAAAAGAAAGCATTAAATAATCACAGTACATTAACAAAGATAAATATAAATTCCCTCAGTTGTAGCACAGCTAAAGTGAGACAGGCCTCTCTGACAATGTTTAAAACCAGGTTAAAAACAGTTCTGTTTAGCTGTGCTACAACTGAGGGATTTTATATTTATCTTTTTTAATGTACTGTGATTATTTATTTTAATGCTTTCTTATTTTGCTCAGCACTTCAAGTTGCCTTGTGTATGAATTGTGCTAGACAAATAAACTTGCCTTGCCATCGTACTTCCTGGTTCTGGTCAGGACTTGAGCTGCTGCATTTTGAATGTACTGCAGCTGTTGTTACAGTAGTCTAACCTACTGGAGACAAATGCATGGATAAGAATCTCCAGGTCTGCTTTAGACACTATGTTTTTGATCCTGGCAATGTTTAGATGGGAAAAAAGATTTGATGTGGCTAATAATATTTACTGATTCTTTCAGCTGGTGGAATCGAGACTGAGTGTGCTAGAAAGTGACAAAGTGGAACTCTGGAAGTCCGCCACGGTAGACCTAATGTCTAATGAAGAAGGCGTTGTGGACGGTGTCTCTGGGTGGATTGTCTTTTCGAAAGCCGGAGTTTTCTGAACTCTGTGTCAAGCTGCAGTCCCGGTTAGAGGCGGCACGGAAGTACAGAGCCACGCACATTAAGCGTCTATCTAGAACCCTGCCAAATTACAACCCAGAGGAGGCTATTTGGACAGTTCAGAGTTGTAATTTTTTAATTACCTATGTGTGAGCATAAAGCTGTGTGTGTGTGTTTTAATAAAGCTTTCTTTGTATGAACATATTCCTGGAAAATTTTCATTTCCTCTATAAATAATATGAATAAATATATATTTATATGAATATTATTTAATTAATTATGAGGCAGGGTGACCAATAGTGACAGATCTGCTAGCCAATCCCGAGAGATTATACTTATTTGAAAGTAGTGATTTCATCCAATGGGGAGTAATCCCACGTGGGCTGGCCACGTGTGATTTTTCAGCCAATCACGAGTTTGAAAGTAGTGGTATCCACCAATGCTGAATAGCAGCCTGGCCAGCCGCTGCATTCATATGCTAATTAGGGCCATTAGCACTCGGCCGGCTGCAGTGTTTCGCTGCATTCATATGCAAAGTAGGGACATTAGCATGGTACGGATACGGCAGTTTGGAGGACAGGGCACCCTAACTGCGCCTTTTGAAAACTGCCTGAGATACCCGAAAAAGAGCGTGATTTCCTGCCGTTTAGGGTGACAAAAATTTAACTTTTCATGCAGTGACATTCTCCCAATTTTCTTGGATAATCCAAATGCTCTCTGGCAACTTCACACAGGCCTGGACATGTACTGCGTAAGCAGGGGACACGTCTGGAACTCCATTCAGATATCACCATACCTTCTGTGAAGCATGGGGGTGGAAACATTATACTTTCAGGCTGTTTTTCTGTGGAGGGACCATGACGATTGATTCGGTAAGGTAAAGGAAAGAATGAATGGGTCCATGTATTGTAAGTTATTGAGTGAAATTGAGTGCTGATGGAACAGACATTGGGCCTCATTCACGAACGGTTCTTAGGAACAGATTTGTACGTAAATCCTACTTACGCGGTTTTTACGAAGAAAGTGGCATTCACGAATATTTCTCGTAACCAGAATTTGTCTTGGGCAAGTACAAATCCTACGAGTCCTCAGGAGCACTCGTACGCATTCAGTGCCGACATGTTCACACGCCGGGGTTGTCCTCTTTGGTGAAGTTGAATAAAAATACAACATTCCAGTGATATGTCCGTCATATCGATGTATGTATTTATTTGTAGTAATCTTTATTAGTAATCTTTATTTATATACCGCCTTTTTCACTGCAGATCTGGCCTACTTTTTAATTCATTTTGAAATGAAATGTGCCAACGCTTTATCAAATACATTGGAAATCTTGCCGTGTATTAGTGACCCCTTCCTATTTATAGGGGGAATTTCTTTATCCACGGGCCACAGAACAACGGCATATATACTGCTGCTGCAGGAGGTTACTGGGTCCGCGCTGAGTCTCTGCGCTGGTCTCTCCTATGGATCTATACGGGTCTGCACTGGTCTCTCCCATGGATCTATACGGGTCTGCGCTGGTGTCTCCCATGGATCTATACGGGTCTGCACTGGTCTCTCTCCATACGGGTCCGTGCTGCATGCTCCTGGATCCATACGGGTCCGCGCTGGTCTCTCAAGTCTGGTCTATGCGGTCTATCTTCGGTCCGCGCTGGTCTCTGCGCACCGGTCTCTCCAGTCAGGTCTCTCCAGTCTATGCGGTCTCTCCTATAGGTCTGCGCTGGTTTCTGTGTGCTGGTCACTCCAGTCTCTCCTCGGGTCTGCATTGGTCTCAGCGCTGGTCCGCGCTGGATCTCCTCCCAGGGTCCAAAATATTTTGAGATTAATCTCAAAACATTTTGAGATTCATCTTTAAAATAATACATAATATATTTTTAAATTAAGCTCATAACATTTTGAGATTAATCTCATCATATTCTTAGATTAATCTCATAATTTTGCTAGTTCGACTTTATTATCATAATATTTCGACTTTTAAGTCAACATTTTATAACTTTATTCTCAGTCTGGCAAAAGCCTGCTTTAGGCCTGTTGCTGTTTCCTCTGCCGTCTGCACACGGCCCTGCAGTCCCTTATATGGGCATTAATGGGCGGTTACTTATGCTAAGTACCTATGGTAATGAAGCACCTGGCACGCGCGCTGTACTTACGAGGAAATGGGATTCATCAATCTGAGAGAACAGCTCCGAACAATTCAGCGGCTTACGAGTGCGTTGATGAATCCCACGTGGGGACTTCTTAGAAATCTACTTAAGGACAACTTGAGAAGAAAGTTGAGTAGTTTCTTACGAAGTTATTCGTGAATGAGGCCCAATGATCCCAAACACACCACCCGGGCAACAAAGGCGTGGCTTCGTAAGAAACCTTTCAAGCCTCTGAAGTGGCCTCGCCAGTCTCCAGATCTCTCTCCATAGAAAATCTTTGGGGGGATTTGATAAAATACCAGCAACAGTGAAAATCTTTTTGAGACTTAAATTAAACGTTGTCTATCACTGTCAACAAAGGGTATTTCTTTTGGAGCTGAGGTGGAGATCAGACATTCCAAATGTACCTGTGGACCTTGACTTGGACATTGTCATCTGATTCCTTTGAACATTCTTAGTTTTATTTCACACTACATAGTCTTTTCTGCATAAACGGGACCCTACCTGCACTTTTTGTTCTTGTGTGGTTACTGGTACCTTTTTCCACATGGTCTAGGAGTCTCCAGGTGTTGCTCGGTTTTGGGAAAAGATGCTCTGTCCCTCCTCCTTCTGTGTTTTGTCCCCTGTTCTCCCTTGGGCCTAAATAGTCGCGTTTCCACCGCAGGAACTTTGGGGTAATTTTCCAGGGCCAGCCCCCTCGGTGCGTGTCTGCACTGCAGGTACTTTCCCCGCAGGGCCATTTACAGGAACTTTTCTCGGACCCAACGGAGTCCCTCCTCCATGGTATTTTCGGTTGGGCCCTGGTAGGACTTGAGGTTAACCCAGCGCTGATTGGTTAAAGCTAGCGCTGGCTCAGGCGCTCAGACACCAGCAAAAGCAGCAAAACAACCGGCAGTAGCCCAGCAGCATTAGCCCAGCAGACACCACTGGAAACAACGAGCAACAGCACGGTGATTCAGACAGGGTTTGAGGCATCGCGGCGAAATAAAAAGATTTATTAAGACATATCAGCTCCACCTTGAAGCACTGGGGATTCATCACACTCCAAAACAACCCGTGAAAAGTTTCGGTCACGAACGTAAAATAAACAAATGGGTTTGGCGCATAGATCTATAATAATAACGGGTTTGGCGTAATGAGTTTTGCTTATGCGGCAATCGAAACTCATATGACGTCGCCGAGTGGTCCTAATCTGCAGAGAAGACACGGCCACTGAGAGGACCGAGGGAGAGGAAGGTTCCTGTAAAAGTTCCACCCCGCTCCTTTTACCAGGAACTCCTGCGGTGGAAACGCGGCTAATGACTGTGCAGTATATCCATGGATCTATTATAATAACTGGATAGGGTATTACTAGCTTGTAGCTGAATAACTCATGTGCTCGGGGGATTCTTGCGGTATCAATCAATCAATCAACTTTATTTGTATGGCGCCTTTCCAACACAAGGCCACTCAAAGCGCCTCACAACCCACATAGTATCACACAAATCAGAGACATCAATAAATACATTAAAAACAGAATAAAATCACAAATAATGGAAAAAAAAAAAATATATATTAAAAGCACACACGGGATTAAAATAATAAATAACCACAATGCATTAAAAAAAAAGAGTATGTATCAATAGAATCCTTCAGCCGTATGCACAGCTAAAAAGAACAGTTTTTAGCCCCGATTTAAAAATTGCCAGAGTAGATGCTAGCCTCACATCTTCAGGAAGATTGTTCCAGATTTTAGCTCCATAAATCTCAAACGCTGCCTCCCCATGTTTAGTTCTGACTCTTGGAACCAGTAAGAGGCTACCTCCTGTGCTCCTCAGAGTCCGGGTCGGTTCATATGGGACTAACAAGTCGCTTAAGTACCCCTGGTGCGAGGCCATGGAGAGACTTGTACACAAGCAGTGCTGCTTTGAAGTCTATTCTCTGAGCCACAGGAAGCCAGTGCAGAGACCTGAGAACTGGACTAATGTGGTCATATTTCCTGGTCCTGGTCAGGACTCGAGCTGCAGCATTTTGGTGTCTCCATTAACGGGTTCTGCATTAATGTGTCTGCTTTATGTTGCCCTGGCATTACTCGTTGGGAAAGCAATAGGCCTTACCCCAGTTGGGGTTGGGGCTAAATATTTGGTTGTGGTTGAATCCAAACCCACAAGAAAATAGTAATCCCATAAATTCATGTGAAATAAAAGGTCAAAATTACAAAAATATGTAATAGATTATGATACTAATAATAATTAAATGTTAATCACTTTTATACTTTTGGTCCCAAAAAGTCCTTTGTATTAAATCTTGGGCCCTGACCGGAATGGTTTTGACACCCCTGTTCTAGCTCAATAAAGCTTAACAAAGACAGTGCTCATGGACAAAGTTTATTGTTCCAACTCGCTGTGGGCTCTACTGAATTACATTGAAAGTACGTTCTGGAACCGTTTGTCTCACACTCACCATTGTAAGCTTAAATTAAAGATCTAGACCCAACTGAAATATTAATGCATTTTCATGTGTCACAAAACTGAAGTATATATATTACATTGTTCTCTCTTAAGACCAAAAGAGATTTAATATAGATTTCAACAGTTAAAATGTGTTTTGTGGCTTTTTACTTTTACTACACAATGACATACCTTAATATCTTGATTTCAGGGACAGTTTACTTACATTGTAATTTACCATTGATCATCCTGGACAAATGTCTTCTATGTGTTTCGACAGCTTTGTAAAGTCCTGCCGTTGTGTTTTTGAGCTACCACAAAAACACATTGATTTGTAAGATAATTATATTTCCCTTCCCCTATGCTGACGCCCCGGTTGAGGACACACAAGTCAAAAAACTCCTCGACCATTACCCCTCTTTCTGCACGTGGGTCTTTTCTGAAAATTGCAATCGTCGCGACCTGCCAGCCATCCTCGCCGGCCCTTTCAGTGAAATATATAAGGCACAAATAAATAGATGGCTGTGGTTATTTTGAAAATTAAACACAATCAGTCAAAAGTGGGGAGCAGAGGGAGCAGCGGGACCGGCGTTATTTTTTTTTACAGAGGGGAGTAGTTCTTCTCCAGTCGCAGAGGCTCATAGCTCACAGGGAAGCGGGTGTGAGAGGTGTCGAGGACGATAACGGCTGCATAATGCTGTAGGTGGTATTGCGGCGCGAGGAGTCGCAAAAGTTTTGGAAAGATGTAATAACTGCGTGTGTCAGGATGGACTTTCTGTTATGTTGGTTCAAAAAGAAAGTGTATTCACGTTTGCGTCATATATATGCAGCGGTAATTTGCGTAATACTACAATCAATTCATTTTATTCTTTGTACAGCCCTGAATTCACAACCGTAGTTATCTGAAAACGAGTTAAAACAAACCAAAATTTGCAAGGGAAAAAAACACACAATTTCATTTTGATGAATGCATTTATCGAGAGAGTTACGGATGGGTGTGAAAGACAAAACTGAGAGAGTGATGGACGGAATTATTTTGGGACATACTATATAAAATCTAAACTCCATTGTGGCAGGAATTAATTTTGTTTCCGTTATTAATTGTTTTGTAAATGTGAGAACTTTGATCGTTTTCAGAAGAGATTTCCTGTACCAGAGGCGTGAGATCTCATTATACGAACATCACTGTACGTGTGGCGAAGTGGCTCAGTTGGTAGAGCATTGGCCTTGAGGCTGAGGTTGTGTGTTCGAGCCCCCTTGAGACCATTTCCACGAACTCCACTGTGATGCTGTCGTTGGGGTACTTGGGCAAGACACTTAACTCCCCACTTTTAGCCTTTGCCCCCGCTGAAAGATCAAGGCTATGCCCTAGAGCCAGGGCGGGAGGGGTAGGGGGGGGCGGTGCGGGTTGTGAGGTTCGTGGACGAGTGCAGGGGCGGGGGGGGGCGGGGTGGGGGAGGGGAGGTGGGCATCGGGGGGCAGGGGGATGCGCGGGGAGCAGGGGAGGTAGGGGCGAGGGCGTGGGAAGGGGGGGGGGCGGGGGGGCTGTGCCGCCTCCCTGTGGACTCACCACCTTGCAGGAGGACAGGTGAGGAGTCTGCTGCTTACAGTATGGTGTACTGGGTGCATATCTGGCCACCCCCTTGACCCAGAAATGGTTATAAGGGGTAGAAATGGATGGACATTACATAACACTGTAAAAGGTTAGCTTTTGTTTAAGATACAAGATTACTATAGTACTAAATAACTTTTAATCACTTTAATTTTATATACTAGGATATTATCTCCTTGAACAACATACTTGGACTGTTATGACTTTTGAATTCTCCAATAGCAATATCAAGTTGCGACACTCAGAAAGGCCCTGTTTCGGCCATTGCTTCTTGCTTAAATTAAACAATAGCTATACATTTTTTTGATAAAACGCAGCTCACATAAGCAGATGGAAATACTTTTAAAATGAATAGTTATTTTCCCAGTACTGGTTTTTCAACTCTTGATCCACATTTGTGTATTGTATTCTTACCTTGAGTCAGACAATACTAGCACTGTTTATGACTACACCAAAGTAAATTGTGACTTCCTGTTATGGCACTGGCAATAATATAATTCTGACCTGAATCTGCTGAGGAGATGGGGTTGTCCTCACTGTTAGTTTCTGTCTATGGGACGATCTTGGCTGACCACGTAGCAGGTGGTCAGGAGCTGCTCTATCTCTCGCCGCCTTGAGCCTTTTTGTTTGTCTACTATATTTACAAATAGAATACTTAATTGTGCAGTTTACAAACGAGTTAAAACCCATCCTGTACCCACGGAACTGCAAACTTAATTCAACAAACAACCAAAACACAGAATTTCCTCCAAAAAAAATAACACAGACCGCATCACCTCGCTGCTGCGACGTGATGACCGCAGGGGACCGCCTGGGCTCATCAGACTCCACAATTTCCTCTGCCGCTCCTCGTTGTAAATAAGTCTGCACCGAACGCTCCACCGTGGAAGGGACCCATTCTCCGCGCCGCCGCTCAACCGACTCAAGTTGGACTTCTCTCCTGCCATCCCGCCGCCGCAGTTACGATGCGCCTCACTTATTGTAAAACAAGTGATATTGTTATGCCCGGGCCGCTGCACAACGCCTAATTAAAGTAGATTTAGACGTGGATTGTGCGTGTGTGGGCCGGCCCGCATGCTATATGGACCACATGAAACTATTATGATGAGTCCACTCCTCTGCTCTGCGCTCGCCGGCTAATGTTTGCATATTTCTCGCTGTTATTTTAGCCGCCGCGGTATTTACAGGCTGAGGATTGGCGTGTCAAAGGCCATTCGGGCAGTGATTGATTCTGACCCGTTGAGCTGGTTGTCCCGGTGTGTTTTGTGGCCGTTATCAAGAAAAGCTATAGTAACAATGAATCTAGAGCAGACCTGGTCTAACTGCGGGCCTCTTGCGGCCTCTTTCAGGTTTCTTTGTGGACCTTTATATACAGCCCTCATGAATTTAATGATTTAGTTTGAATACTCTTATAGTTTGGGCCTACTGGAGCTGGAGGATATTTCCCTTCTGTACATGTTTTTTAGTGGTAGGGGGGACCTGGAGCACCCAGTGAAACCAGGATCCTTCTTGCCCCCCTCGACGAAGCGAGAATGTGAAGCGTCATTTTTTGTTTTGATAGCTACTATTTTAGGTAGGATTTTTTTTAATAAAAGTGCCACTGAACTGTTATTAAGACAATGTAAGAATTCATTTATTCATCTTTTGTTCATTTCTGGGTCGGGGGCGGGCGGCAAAATAGATGCTGTCGACCTGATTCCACGCAGCTGCTCCCTCACTGATCCGCCTGCAGGTGGTGGGGTCAAGAGGAGGACGGCTGGCTTAGTCACAATATCAACAATGCAAATAATCAAAAACCGGTGTATTTAGTATAATCTGTCGATACTATAAATAAGACACACAAATTGCTTCCTATATCTCCTCAATGTTCAGAGTTCAGATATTGTTCCAATCATTCCACTCCTCGGTGATGACGGAAAGCGTGTCACGAACACACTGGACCATCAGCTCCAATCAACACCATCCATTCACTCTCTCATTTACATATCAGACTATTGTGCATATTTTTAGTGGTAGGGGAAACCGGAGCACAGGAGGAAACCTATGCAGACACAGGGGAACATGCAAACTCCACTCAGAAAGGCCCTGTTCCGACTGGTGATTCCAAGGACCCCAGGACCTTCATTGATGAGAAGCGAGGAGTGGCTATCCACTCAGCCACTGTGCCGCCACAAAGGAGGAGAGGTAGAAGGGAGAGAGAAATGGAGAAAGTGTAAAGAGGGAAGAGAAGGAGACGAGGGAGATGAGAATGGAAAAGTTGCCCAGAATTATTGTCTTCAGAACTATTCTACTGCAACAACAAAATATAATCATCCGCAATATTAGAGAACTTTTATATTGAACTTTCTTTCATTTTTCTTCTTCAGGCTTGTAAGGAAGAGCTATTTTAGGTCGGAGTATATCAATACAGCAGATAAAACAACAATATTTCTTGTTTTTAACTTTGTGTGGCTACAGTTTGATATGTCACTGTCCAAACCAGCATTGAGCAGTGTCATTGTCTAAACACAAAACAGTTTGTCAAGATAGATGTGTTGTGTCTATATGATATAATCTGAATGGAGTTCCCAATGAGCAGAAAAATACAGTTTTTCACTTTACGTTTTTGTTTTTGTTTTACCCATGAATAACTTACTTCACTCCATAATTAAAGCAAAAGGGTCTGTTTTGTTAAAAGCTCTGTTGAATCGCTTCCAGATGTGCTTTTCCAAGTTTCACTTTTACACGAAGTAAGGCTTTCCACAGCCAACTCTAAAAGCATACTTTCATCCCTTTTGAGAATAGTGCTTTGGAGAACTTTTGTGGCGTATCAGCGAACATGTCATAAGGAAATGCATTAATTGAAACAAGGGTTACTAGATATCACAATTTGAAATGTGGCAACCAGAAAATTAACTTATATATATTTTTGTATTATTTCAATTTAAATCACAAGTTCCCTGTTCCTTTGTGGTTTGATTTGGAAGGTCTGAAATATTCTGGATTTTGTAATTTTTCTGTTTTGTTAATTCAATCTATTTTTTGGCAGTTCTGCATTTGGGTTGTCACTTTTGTTTGGTTTTCCCTACCCCTACCACTAAGAACAATAAGTCCCCTCTCTCTGGGGCCTCAGGACTCCCCTGAAAGAGAGATTTTGAAATCTCAGAGGGACTTTTTTGGTCAAACAACAGTCAAAAAAACCTTAAATAAAATTGATGAACCGTGCATTCAACTGAGATTACTGCACTTTGAACTTTCCTCTGTATTTTTATCCGTGGGGTATTTATATCATCGTAGTTGATAAAAGCACATTGTATTGCTGCCTATTTCTGCTATCCAAATTAATTGAGTTTAATAACTATCTAAATACCGACTTTTGGCATCCATGGTTTGAATAGTTGATAACTAACATGATTGTTGATAATGAACACGCTTGAAAAACTCAGTATGAAGACAATCGGACTATAGAAAAATCCCACACCTTTCATAACTTTTTTCACATATTTTTTGTGAATAAATTTAGTGCTTTTTGAGTATTGTCTTTGATCAAATAAATCCAGTTCAATTCACAAAAGGATATTGTGCAAAAACCATTCAATATAAACAAATGGTTTCATGGCCATTGTCAGACTTAGGCACTTATTGTTATGAATTGAGTTGATTATTCATATATTACTTAAATAATAACTGCTCTTAACCTGGTGCTCGATCATATTCTGACACCTGTACTCTTCCTAGTCCATCATTGGCAGATCGCAGTGGCAGATGAGAACGGATGTATGTGGCGCTCATGATGTAGTTGATGAAGGCGTATTAACCTAATGACAGCGTGATCTGCTCTGTGATTGGACGTCTCCTCTTCCATTAGTTTGACTGATGAGGGCACAGGCTAATTGCAGCAGAGGAGACGGCTACATTCATTATACGTGCCAGCTTTCCTTACGGAGCGAGAGAGAGGCCTTCACACGAGCTGGGTGACTATTGAGTGACGTTTCATAAACGTTAGAAGCACTGTTTTCAGTCTTCTGCCTTTAAGATGGAGTTCTTAACTGTTTCGGCTTCATAATTATATTGTGTTAGTCCCAACACAAAGAGTCTTGTTTAATCAAATGAGACAACATTGAGCTTTCCTTGTTTACTTGGACAAACGCTGATTGGCTGGAGATGTGAAAGATGTGACAGAGGCCAAAAATACAGGTGAAAACTAGTCGGATGGCTGAGTGGTTTGCTCTCTCACTTCTGAGCAAGAAGGTTCTGGGTTAAAATTCTGGTCAGAACTTGGGGTTTCTGTGTGGGGTTTGCCTGCTCTTCCAGTGTCTGCGTAGGTTTCCTCAGCGTGCTCTGGTTCCCCTACCACTTAAACATGTAGGTAACATACTCTCTGGTCCTGACCAAGAGCCTCAACATCTGAAGATGGGTCTAAGTGTGCTGTACTCCGGCACTCCATTGGCATTGCAGGGTGGGTCATATGTAGAGGAAACATTTCTCTATGGGGATAATAAAGTATGACTTAACAAAACTAAATCGTTTTGAGGGTATGGAAAAAGTGACATGGCTTTTATGACAGGTTTGTTGTTCTTTCTTAGCAACCACCAACCCGCCGGCGGGCTGTTTTTATGTTTTTAAATGTTCTGCTGGCAATAGCAGATGTATTTTGAACACCAAACCCCAAAAGCTGTATATCATTTTAAAGCTTATTTTCTTATCTACATTTACATACAAGTGTAAACTACATCAGACTTTGCATTCAAAAGATATAACACATAATGTGGGCACAAAATAAATCAATTCGGAAATAGTTCTTTACCTTTGAGCTTGTGCTGTACAAATAAATCAGCTCTCCTCCCAGCTTGCAATACATCATTCTCTCTGGAACAGTCCAAAGGAAAATTATATCCACTTGTATTTCCCAAAGTAAAATCCATTCTGCAGAAATAATCCAAAAATGTGCATTTATCTTTAGCGAAAAAAACGAAAAAAAAGAGCACAGATGTTACTCTTTCACTTTTAACGGACTTTTAGCTTTGTTTTTCACCCAAAAATCTGGTATCTACGTGTTCCTTAGCTCCTTATCTTTCAAATGAGACTACTCCCGAAAAGCTAGACCAATTTTTGGGTCTGCAAGAGCCGCTGCAAGTACAGCTTGCGCTGCTGTTTGCGCATGCTTCACTGATCTTTTGTGGGGTCCCAACTTGTTTACGTTTACTTCCGGGATTTACGATTGACATGTCCTTGTAGCCAATGAGGAAAGCTTTCGAACAAGGGGTGGGACAATGGTGTCCTGTCTTATGTTGTCCCTGGACAATTGTGCGTCATGGAAGCCAAAAGACGCTCCCGAAGCTGCAATGAATTTACACTCATAAAAAAATAACTTTGACATTGAAAAAAGAAAAACACACATAGATTAGTAACTTATAAGTACCAATAATAAAAAATATTGTTTTTATGATGATTAAATGTAAGTAAAGATATTTGGCACAATTTGGCACACTTGTTGAAAAGGAGAAACTGCATAAAAACTATAAAACTTAGAAGTCTGAAACTTTAGACAGTTGTTGTCAACAACACAATGAACAGAGGGTTTGAATATTGTGAACTTACAATGAAGTCTGCCTTTTTTAGGGCCTTTAGAAATTGAAAATGTTAGGCGAGGCTAAAAAAATTGGGTTTTTTTCCCTAACTTCAAAGGATGCAGAGGAAAATAGGAATGACAAACATTATTTTAGTGTTTTTTTACATAAACTAGAAGGCTCTAGCTTTAAAATGATGCATCACACAAGCATGTGAGATGTAAGATGTGTTTTTAAATAAGCAAAGACATTTGGGTATGCCCAACCATTGTGCACGAGCCAAAATGAGGCGGATGTTAAGAGGTTAAGTGCTTGGAGAAACAGGTGTCACGTTAATTGTGCAGGAGATAACTTCTGTACAACGTTATGACGGTAATGGCTGGTTTTGATATATAAAA